AGATTTATGCCTCCTACATTTCATGTTACAATTATTATAGGATGTTTGCACCTGTTTCTCCTCATTTTGTCTATTGTCACATCAGCAAACGAAAGTCCTTTATTGGGTGAAACCTTTACCCCATCTGTATCATTATAGTAGACACTATGTTGAGGTGGCAGCTCTTCATTTTGAGGCCCTTCCAAACTGAGGGACTCATCCTCTTGCACTTACTCCAACAAGATTCTTCCATTGTCCACTGAGTTTCTGAAAGCCCATTATTTCAAAAGTGAATGGTCAGTTCTGCTTCTTAGTCAATCTTAACCTGAAAGATCTACTGAAACTTGTCCACCATAGGTGAACCTAGTGGTATTTGAAATACCAGTGGCATAGCTTCCAGCAACACACAAGTCACAACTGTATGGCAAACTGACAGATAACAAATATACACGCCAACCAGGAAAATCAAGATGTATTTCAACTAACAGATGCAGACTTGCATGTTCTTACTAGTCTATACTAGGAAATTTGGAGGGCAGCTGCCCGGCCAACTGACTAGAAGCAATCTATACTTGTTTTGTTCCCAAGAAAGATGATCCAACAGAATGTGGAAATTAATGAACAATATCATTAATATCACATGCAAGCATGCTGAAGATCATTCACAATAGGCTAGAACAGCACAAAGATAGAAGTTTAAGCTGAAATTTAGAAGCGATCATGACAACAGGGATATTATGTCCGATGAATCCTGGCTGTAAGTAGAGAATAACAGAAGAATGTCTATTTGTGCTTTATTCACTGTGCATTTGACTGTGTGGATCATAACAAATGATGGTTAACATGAAGAAGAAGAAGAATCTCAGAACACTTAATTATGCTCATGTGAAGTCTATATCTAAATTAAGATGCTGTTGTATGATCAGGGTTGCATTCTTTCTCCTCACCTATTCAATCTGTATCTGTACAAATTATTTGAGAAGCTGGACTCTATAAAGAAGAATGTGGCACCAAGCCTTGAGGAAGACTCATCAACGACTTACATTACACAGAAAATACAACCTTGCTTGCTGAAAGCGAGGAGAACTTGAAGGTCTTGCTACAGAATAACTAAGAAAGCAGCCTTCCATATGGATTGTATCTTAAGGTCAAGGAAGCAAAAATTCTACCACTGAGTCCAATAGGAAATATGAGATGAAGAAAAGATTAAAGCTGTCAAATTACTTCATCCTACTTGGATCCATAGTCAGCAGCATCCTTTGTACCAGCGGTCATGAGATCAGGAGATATATGCACTGGGAAAGTCTGCAGTCAGGGACCTCTCCAAATTACTGAAGAACAATGATGTAATTTAAGGACTAAGGTATGCCTGATTTAGGCCATAGTCTTTTCAATTACTTGCTATGAGTTATGCCACCCAAACTCCTTAAACAATAACTTTTTACAATACTATGTGTATTTGCCTATAATTATACCTTGGATTAGAAGATATTATCATATAAGAAGATTTTTAACTTAAGAAAATCTTTTTGTGGTATTCTTTTGAAATACTTTCTCATAACATTTAAAGAGATACTTGACTTTAGATGATTATCATCATATAGAGATCACTCCAAGTACCTTTTTAAAAGAAATCTTTATCCATGTCAAGCTTCATCAGGACAAGGTAGTGTCCTAATTTTCAAGAACTTCTATAACTGTCGCACATTCTGTTATAGCTTTAACTCTCTAGCTATCATAATCCTGTAACAAGACAATGCATTTCCTTCCAACCTTAAAAAGGGTGAAGTTCATTTATCTTCAAATCTAGGAAAATGAGTTAACTCCTAACAACCTCTGATACTCAAGAGAAACAAAATTGTACTTTGGAATTAGTCATCCGTTTTTATTTCATGATCTCCTTAGTTATCACAGCAACAGGATAATATAGCAATTATCACACAGTATTACCAAAAGGAATGAATGAAAATGAAACAGCATTGTTTTAAAGCCCAATATTTAATTTTGACCTGAATATTCAGTCAAGTAAGTCCATACTTTTTATCATTACTATTTTTAATCAAAAATCGACAGCACGTAACAACAACAACAACATATTTAATCAAAAGAGCATAGTAGATCTATATTTGAAATTTTATGTGTTTATTTTTTTCAATATTTCTTAAAATACTTCACTAAATTTATCTATGCTTCATTTTTTTAGCATGAAAGTATTTTTGTATTAAAAGGAAAAGGAAAAGAAAGTGACACATTATGCATTTTATAGAATGCTATGTGCCATGTAAAAGAATTGGTGAGATTTGGGAGGTATTTCCCACAGATATTGGACTGTGTTTGCTCTGCTTGTTTTCTGGACATTCACATTTCTACAAAGGCTTGATTAGCAAAATGATAATGCCTTTTCTTTAACAGAGTTCCCTTAATATCAAGACAGTTTGGTATTCTACTTTATCTCTGGTGAAACAAGCATAAGATGCCTTTCTCTGAAATGTTTTTGTTAAAAGAAGAAATGACAAATAAAATAGACAATGATCATTTATTACCAACAGAAGCAGTAGTATTTTAAGATCTTAGACTGAAATAACTACTTAGTCCAATGACTCACGGGAGCCTTCAAGTAAGAAGTAGATCCTCCTATGAAACTGCATTAGTTTTATTAGGCAACAGTGATATGTCTTTTATTAGTTGGACTCTGGTAAACACCTGACAACGAATAGTACTTTACCCGAAGAGACACGTATCATGTACCACATAGTCTAACCAAGAGATCTATGGCACTATGAGTCTCACAGGGAGATACAAGATAGTTTTCATAGACTCAAATGGGATGCAAACTTGTTTTTTCTTTAGAGAAATCTGTGTGCAAAGTTTAAGTGATTCTAAATAGCTCATATTCTAAAGCATGAGCGAATTGTGGAGACATGCTGATGTAGGTTTCAGCATGTAGATGTAGAAGAACTTTGAAAGGAACTCGGGGACTCATTTTCGATTGGAATATAGCAATAAATATTTTAAATACATCAGAATAGCCCTTCACTAGCACTTGATTCACTTCCTTGCCCAGTTACTTCACATGCCCCATAAGCTATCTCATTATAGTAAGCTTGGTTCATATTAAGTTTCTCCCTCAGGAGTTCCTAAGGGACAAGAGTTGGTTGAGTCAGCATCACCTTAGCTTAACTATTGAACTAATATTCAGATTAGTTCTAGGGAAGTCTCTTTTCCTCTCCTTTTGGTTTTTTTGGTCATTTGACTAAAAGCTTACAAAGCTTACTGGTTTTCCATTCAACCACTCAAACACATTGTGTTTTATGACATTAATTATAATACATGCAATGTCACTGAACGCTACACTTCCTCACTGTGATTCGTCATTGTCATTAGCCCTTCAATCCTATCCCTCCCTGCCTTCTGAGGTTCATACCTGGGTAAATCATAATATTTTTATTCTAGAGAAGTTTCTTAATTTGCTATCGCAAAAATTCTAAGGGTAGAATTTCTCCTTTCTACCTCTTTCTAGGAATGGGATTTAGAAAGCACAAGACCTCTTCTATTCAGTGGAAGACCTTAGACAAGTGTTTCTTGTCATATGTATTGTTATTGTTAGATGCTGATCTGTTGGTTCTGACACTTAGTGACCCTATATGCAGCAGAATGAAGTATTTCCTGGTCCTCACCATCTGTGCCTCTGTACTTAATTCCATCATTGTAGTTACTGGGTCAGTACAATTTATTGAGGCTCTTCCTCTTTTTCCTTGACCTTCTTCTTGGCCACACATTGTGATCTTCTTCAGAGTCTCAAAGTATATGAGATGAAGTCTCACCCTCTTTGCTTCAAAGGAACATTCTGGTTGCACTTCTCTTTGTTCTTTGGTAGTCCATGGCATCATTGTTACTCTTCGCCAGCATCACAATTCAAAGGCATCAATTCTTTTTCAGTGTTCTATATTCTTCAAAAAATGTCACATGCACAGGAAGTGATCAATATATGTTACATATATGATACATAGACCACATATACTCAAATGTGCTCCAAAAATGTTAGCACATTAATGATGTTGTTCTTTATTGCTATTGAATCTACCCCCTAATACATGAAGAACCTGTGCACCATGGGAATGGAACATTATGTTCCATTTGTTTTTTACTGGTTGATTTTCCAAAGTATAAAGCCAAGCCCTTCTTCCTTATTGGGAAACTCTGCTGAAACCTGTTCAACACCGGCCTTCCATGACAGAAAAGTATTGGCTGCACTTGAAGTGCATTGGCCAGGTATCAAAACAGAGTTTTCTGCAACTGAATCACTACAGTCTTCCCATTGAAGATAGATAATGCTGATTTTCTTTATAGCCCCATGTAATTTCACAAACAAACAAAATCTTCTGGTTTCAGAAATGAAAATTTTCTTTTTAGTGATCAAAAAGACTAAGTTTTTCTTTTAAAGTGATTGATGCAGATATTGCTTAATTTAATTTAAATACTAAAATTCAGATTGGCTCTTTATAACATAAAAACAGGAATAAAAGACAACCATAAAAGAAATAGCAAACTTTGTTTATGTTCCACTAAGTTTGGGAATCACCATCAACCTCCCACATGAATTGGTGAAATGGGAAGACAAGTAGTTTTAGGCATAATGATATTATGCACTTAGTAGATAGAAAAGTCTTGCCACCAATTTTTCTCTAAATACCCTTCAATACTTTGCGGGAGAAGGATGGGAAATTATAGAAATGTAGTCAGACTTGAATTAGCTCTCAAATATAAAATCATTCTCAATTTTCTGTAATGAAAATTAAAATAGAGCCTAAAACTGCAGCCCACCTATGTTTAATCATTAATAGTGAGTACCTCAGTGAACTTAGGTCCTGATTTTGGAGTTTGGAATCTGACCTTTCCCCAAAGATAAACATTATTGTTGCAGATTCTGAGGAGGGTCATTCCCTGAGCTGCCTTCTGGGAATCCACTTCTCCTTGACTCTTAGCTAGGAGCTGGATGCAGGAGAGGGGACTGAGTCAATATGATTCTTCTTGCTGTGCTTTTTCTATGCTTCATTTCCTCATATTCAGCTTCTGTTAAAGGTAAGTTTGTGCAGCCTTCTGCTAAACTTTTAAATTCAGTCTTCGGGGGGAAAGTGTATGTGTACTTGTAGTGAAAATTTTCCTAACTAAACCATCTTCTAAACCATGTAATTTAGGATTGTTTGTGAAAGCATGACTGGATTGAAAGGAAAATAAAATTCAAATTCTTACATACATTAAGGAAACAGAGATTCCATTGAGTTTTCAGTTACTCCGCCCAGTGTGCCCCTCGCTTTAGTTTCCCATTCATGTTGTGTTTTTAAAAGAGGGTAAAAGATGCCAGCTATTGTTACCTATTTCTGTTGGTCTTTCACTTGAATGCTGCTCCCTTATTTGAATTGTAAAAGGAGATTTTTTTTTAAAGTTCCTTCTAGTTGCTTAGCAATGTGACATCAGGAAGAATTAGACTCAATGTAAAAAGACATTTGATTTGCCAAGTAATTATAAATTAAATTATAAAATAATGCCTTTGCCATTCGAAAGTGACAGAATAATGACAGTTGGTGAATTTAAAAAAACGTGATTATATGATGTAGACTTAAGAATGAAGATAGTTAAGTATATGAAAGTATTTCTATAATTTCTATCTCAAGACAAAATCAAAAAGCTCTGTGTATTAATAGTGAGATCTTGTCTTACATCACTTTTTTTATTTACATGTTTTAAATCACTCTTTGGATCTCTAAACGTAGCATGTGTAACTACCACTTTTTTTAGTCTTTTAAGAAGATAACACTGTCAAAACCAATGGTTTTCGCATACAACTTAGCATTAAGAGGCTCAACTTTTAAAACTACTTGTTATTGTTGCTATTAGCTGCTATTAAATGTTTATGCTAAGTAATTGATATAAAACAAGTCACTTAAATGTTATAAACCTTCTTGGGAGAACTCTGGCTTTTGATCATAAACTGGAATTTACCGCAAGATTTTTGCGAAAATTTTCACATGAGAGAAAAAGGACAATATTATTATAGCAATAAATGACTGGTTAAATATATTTATCCTAAGTAGATCACACTGTAGGTTATTGACTATATTTTAAAAGTTTCTCAAAAGTTTGGTATTTAAAGGTGTGATCTTTACCTATGAAAATTTCCTTAAAATGAGAAAAATGTGAGGATACGTAAATTATAGCTAATTGAGAACTGTCTCATGAGGAGCTTATCATTTCATTACCTGTTAAGTAAACTACTGAGAATTTTAAATGTGAATGATTTCAGCAACTCAATAACAAACTCATGATGTGTTCAAATAAAAGTATTGCCTATAGAGAGTTTTTAAATAAAATAAAATATACACATTCTCTCTCCTCTCTCTCTCTCTCTCTCTCTCTCTCTCTCTCTCTCTCTCTCACACACACACACACACACACACACACACACACACAGAGAGAGAAAAGAATGAGTGTTAGAATGTAACAAATAGCTCTTTCTGTCAGAACTTGAATTTTATGCAATTAAGTATCTTTGAGAAGGATTACAAAAACAGTTTACTTTGGAAATTAGGGAGCTCTCGGGGTGTGGTCCACAGGAAGTTGGGCTGTTAACCCAAAAGCTCTAGTGGTTAACCCACCTTTCTAGTGGTTCAAATCCATTAATCACACCAGTGGAGAAAAATGGGCAATCTCCTCCCACAAGGATTCCAAAAACCTACTGGAGTGTCAGCTGTGAGTCAGTTCTGACTTAAGAGTTTGAGGGAGATTTTTGAGAATATTTTACTGACAACTTTTATCTTAATAGTGTGGCATTCTGGTGGCCTAATGGGTAAGGTGTTGCTCTGACATTCCAAAAACAGGCAGTTCGAATCTACCAGCTGCTTGGAGGGAGAAAGAGGAACGATCTCTTCCTGTGTGTTTTAGTCCATTTCAATTCTACACATCACTATAATTTCCTTCCAAATTTTGGAAGTTGACTGGGCAAGTGAGCAAATTTAAAACTTATGTGTCATTGGCTCCATGGTACAAGATGCATATATCAGATTAAATATAAAAAAAATCACAACACTTGGCAGCCATCTACAATCTAGATTCAGTATGCATTTATAATATACATTACATTAGACATCTAGCCCTTTATAATGATTGATGTTTAACTAGCAAATTACTGTAAAGAGTCCACCTTAAAATTTGGGCATTCTATACCCTGAGAAAATGAGAACTAAGGCACAAATGGAGATTTGTACACCACTGTTCATAACAGCATTATTTATTATTGCAATAACACGGAAATAACCCAAATATCCAACAACAATTGAATGGATTGAGAAAGTACGGTACATTCACATGATGGAATATTATACAACAAGGAGGAGTAATGATTTTGTAAATCATTATCTCATTTGAGAGGGACTAGAGAGCATTATGCTAAGTGAACTAGCTCAGTACTATAAGGACAAATACTGTTTAAGACCATTAATGTAGCTTGTGTATGAGAATCCAAGGGAGGAAGTCTGGGATCAGAGGAGTGAGGGTGGGTGGGAGGCAGGAGATGAGGGAGTAGAGGGTAGTTAATCATAAAGTCACACAATTTGATGGGGGGAGGGAGGGGTGTTTAAAGAAAATAGGAAAAAGCTAGTGTGAAAAACAATGTATAAGACCTTTGTAAGTAAACTAGTCTTAAATAAAAATTTTATTTAAATTTTAAAAGAACGGAAAAAAATTGTTGTTGTTGTTGTTGTTATGTGCCGTCGA